ACCGATTGGTCCAGTGGTGAGAATCTTTGTCTTCTTGACATTGAGCCTCAGTCCATACTGAAGGCTGCAGTCCTTGACCCTCTGCAGTAAGTGCATAAGGTCCTCCTCAGTTTCAGCGAGCAGGGTTGTGTCATCTGCAGTTACTAAAACCAAATTAAAGATATGGCCATTGAATAAATACCAGTGTACAATGATCTCACATGGCCTTAAAAGGTTTTCAAAGTTCTAAATCTTTATGGAAGCAGATTGCTACATCTTTCTTTTGATCGAACCACCTAACTCTTGCTCAGCAGCTGAGTACTTAGTCACTGTGCCACCAGGGCTCCTGGAACAGTGTTAACTATCGTTATATTGTTGTTGTGTACCTTCAAGTTAGAACTGACCAATGGCTGACTCTCCAACAAATTCTCAGAGGCAAAAAAATGCACAGGAGGAGACTGCCCATTCATCTCCTGCGGCGCAGCTGGTGGATTTGAATTGTGTGCCTTTGGGATTGCAGTGCAGTCTTTTACCACTAGGCCACCAGAGTTCTTCTCACAATGGGCTCAATTATGATTATGAGCTAATTACAATTTCCTGGTACAAAGGTGACATGAGACACACAATTATACTAAACTTCAGTTATTTCAAAACCACCTAATCTATTACATAGAAATGGTAATTTAAAGCCTCTTCCAAGGAAAGCAACAATAAAAATCCTCAATATTATCCATTTTAAAGTCTTGTAATGACTAAGCACCATAGTTTAAAACTCAAATAGAATAAAGCAGTTTTGAAATTGTATATGAAAACCATACAAGCAAAATCAAGAAAATGAGGGTTCCAACCAAACCTCAGTACACTGGCAGGAAAGAAAGAAAAGTTTCAGAGTATGCTGTATTCTCCCAGAGGAAGCAGAACACAATCATCACGTTTAGAAAGGAACCAGAGCACTTTACAGCTCACCTCATCTCCAGGCTTGAAGTATTTCACATCAAGGCCACACTCCATCACCACACCAGAGACATCCCGGCCCAGAGTCAGAGGAAATTCATCTCCCTTGGTTGTAATATGTAAGGGATCACGTTTCATATTTAAAGCTGTAGCTCCATAACCACCTATAAAACACAATTGATTTATTTCCTCATAAGTAGGAAGTTCAAAATTACCTGTAGGATTATAGGGAGTTCTGACAGCTTAGAGCTAAGGAGTTGCACTGACAACCAGAAAGCACAGGGTTCAAATCCATCAGTTGCCTTCAGGGAGAAAGTTGGGCCAATCTCCTCTCATGCAATTTACTGTCTCTGAAAACCCACTGGAGGATCAGATATGAGTCAGTTTCGACTCAGTGGTATATAAAAACAAGAACGTAAGTGTGGCTATAATTCTAGGGCCTCAAGATTGGATATAGTAATCAATTTTGTAATAGGTTACCAAACAAGAAAACATAAAAACAGGAGTGCTTTTCCCATCAGAAAATGTTGTAGTTTTTGCAGTGTACCTTTGAGTTGCAAGTGACCCATAGCTGACCCGCTGGGGGAGTTTCAGAGGCAGTTAATTGCTGGGGAGATTGCCTATCCTTCTCTTGCAGAGCAAACAGTGGCCTCAAACTGAGTGCCTTTGGGATTTCATCCCTCAAAGAAAGAGTTACCTCATTCTACAACAGTGGCACCATATAGACATCGGGGTGGGGGTAAGACTGAGAAAAACCAGATAAATTATGTTTATTGCATTGAAGTCTATGACGGAGAGAATAGTTTAAAAGTATTATATTTTAGGGCATTATGTTTATCCTAAGAGTACGGAATGAGGGTTGCAGAGTAGATTATATTTGGGGTGGGGGTGGTTTTGGGGGGGTGTGTGGGGGATTGTGTACCAATGAAGGAGTTTTTCTTTCGCTTTTCAAGGAGAGGAGCAAATGGGGTGGGGAAGCGGGGAGAAAAGTGCAACAATCTCTGTAGATGTTCATTGAAATAAAAAACAATAAATAAAAATAAAAAAAATTTTTAAAAGGTTACAATCATTTGTTGCACTGAAGCTACTACCATGGAGATGATGCAAGAATGGGCATCAAGAAGGATTATGTTCTGTTGTTGTGCATGGGATGAGGTTGTCAAGAGTAGAAAGCAGATTAAATGCCACCCTAACACCAAAGCTAACCATTACTCAACATGGTTTTGGAATTCCAATTTTAAAACTACCATCAGAACTTCAAGAATTCTATTTTATCATTTTTATTTTGTAAAAAACTTCATAAATAAGCCAATATAAAAGAAACTTTAAAAAAATCATTAGATTTTAAAATTGGTGAGCTCTGGTGGCCTAGTGGCAAGAAGCTGCACTGTAATCCCAGAGGTTAGCGGTTCAAATCCACCAGATGCTTTGCTGGAAAAGGAGAACAATCTCCTCCTGTACCAGTCAAATCTGATTTGATGGCACACATACACACAAATAATAAAACTAAAATTTTTAAAAGAGTTAGATTTTAAAATAAAAACTAGATAAAAAATTAGATTTTATTTAGTTTTACATGCTTGTTTGAATATGATTCCTTATTAATTTATTCACTGACTTATTTTCTTAATATGTTTGGATGTTGGATACCATCTCTGGTGAAGAGGGAAAAAGAAGAAGTCTAAACTGTTTGAATAAGCAAGTAAATAAAATATAGATATAAGTAATTTGATTCTGATATTAGTGTATGTGCAATGACCCCTATCTTATTTTTTTTCAACAAAAATCTTTGAAATTAGCATACATATTCCTAAGTGGAAAAGAGCCATTGCCACATGGCTATACAAGTTCTGATATGCTATATCAAGCTGCTAAATCAAGTTCTGATAAGCTAAATCGTTTTTGGTTTTTCCTCTCTCCTTTTTTTTTTTTCAAGAATATGTTAAATCCTGTTTAAAAGGGATATATGATTACGTATTATTATCATGACAGGAGTCCAGAATGAAGGCTGCATAGTGGAGTGGACTTGGGGGGAAAGATTGTATAACAATGAAAGAATGTTTCTTCTACTTTTCAAAGAGAAGAGCAAACTGGGGGGGGGGAGGGGTGGGCAGGAAGAAAAGTGCAACAATGAATGAATGGAAATCCAAAGTCTCTGCAAAATTTTCATTAAAATTAATAATAATCAAATTATTATAAAATAATAATAATTATAAAAAAATTTTAAAACAATATTTTCAATCACTTAAGGAGCTGAAAATCTTTTTCTAATTGTAATTTTCCAAATCGATCAACTACTCCATCTACAGTAACTCACTACATAGCTTCATCATATAAAAAGACTTACCTAAAACACAAAACTATTGGTATTCTCTCCTTACCTCAAAATATTTCTGAAGTTTCCTGTAATTTAGGAGAACATTTCTGATAAGGAAAGGTCTCTGAGATTGGAACCCTAAAGACCTTGCTAGTATCAAGTACTGTCCCAGAATTAATGCTCCAGAATCGCTAAACTAATCTGCAAGACTCCCTTCTTCCCTACCCACTTCTGGGTATTTGATCTCCAGGATGAGCAAAAACCAGCAAAGGAGTCTGAGAAGATCAGGCCAAAGAAGTAACAGGTATCTCGAAAGCTAAGTGATGAAGACCTTCAAAGAGGTGAGATGTTGCTGATAAAAAAGACACTTTTTAAAATATGGTCGAATGTCCCCATTAGGTTTTTTTAAAGGTGGGGAGAGGGTGTTGGAATTCAACCACATAGAGGCCACTGGTGCCTTGAAAGGAGCAAATGTTGTAGAGTGATGTGTTTGTGAAAGAACAGGAGACCATGAGAAAATTAAATTTTTTTAAAGTAGTTTTACTATAAAAGGTAGCAGAGAACTACTAGGATAATGGGAAATAAAGATTTTTCTTTTTCAATCTATAAAATTCATCCCTAAGAGGAGAAAAAGGACAACATGAACATACTGATGACACAGGACAGAAGGCTGGAACAGTATCCAAGTAGCTGAGATACAGTACACAAGTGGAGCATTGGCCTTAACTGGGAGAGATAGGAGGAGAGGAAGAAGGTATGGGAAGAGGTATTGACAACTTACAGAAGGTATTTTTCTAAGGCAGAAATGAAAACATATAGAAGGAAGTATTTGAAAGTTGACACTATCCCAGAAAATCTAAACTGGTAAGCATTATACCAAAATTACACATAGGAGTTATTCTCTCTCTCACTGCTTTTGAATCAAAACCAACAATAGCTGATCATTCATTGGGTTTCCAAGGCTGTAAATTGCAAAGGAGACTGCCCATCTTTCTCCCTTGGAGCTGCTGGTGGATTCAAGCCTTTGGATTAGCAGAGTAACTTCCTATAGACTATACTAGCAGAGCTCCCCAGTTCGGAATCAGTCAGCCAGACATTGCTACTGATTTGGAATCTATGCATAGCTGACCCTCCAAGGGGGTTTTGGAGATTATGAATCTCAGGGGACAAGACTGTGCAATCTTTTTTCCTTGAGGAGTTGCTAGTGGATTCAAACCACCAGAGAGATATGCTCTTTGGATTAGCAGCACAACTTCCTGCAGACTACTGCACAGTTCCCTCTAGTTAGGTTGCTGCCACTGAGATGGAATGGACCTATAATTGACCCCCTGTAGGTTTTCAGAGGTAGTGAATCACACAGGAGGAGAGTGCCTACTGTTCCCTTGAGAAGCAGCTGGTGGATTTGAACTATTTTTATTTGAGCTGGCCGCATTACTACTAGGCCACCTGAGCGCCCTCTCCATTAGGAGCACACGCTTACCTGTAATGCTTACAAGTCATGTTTCACATTCATTTCGCATTACTGAAAAATAATAAAACAGTATGCACTGACATCCCTACCTGATTTAAACAACAGAAGTATGCATTTTGCCATGTCAAGTTTTAACTGCTAATTCAGACCCACAGAAAGGTTTCTTACAGCTTAAGGCTGTTTTGGTCACTCTGCCATGTTAATGCCTGACCCAAGTAGCCCTAACTCACTGGTATTATTCAAATGATTCCAAAATCCAAATGCACCTGGTCCTAACAGAGTCTGCCAGGTGATATAAAGAAATGACCTTCTATTCATTAACAGAAGTTGCCAGTTTGACTTGCTCAAAAGATTGAGGCAAGTAATTTGAAAGAAATATTCCATCATTTAGATTTTCAAAGACTTTAAACACATCAATAGAAACCAAACTTTGTTGCTATAATGCTGTTGGCTCTGATTCTTTTACACCTATTTTTAACATCATCCATTTCTTCTGTCTTTTCTATGATTTATTATTTATAGTCAACTGCTCAACTGCAGTGGCTATCTTGAGAAAAGAACCAGCCCTTCATCTTGCAAAATAAAATAGATCTATCTCTTACTTTCTTGTCAAGGAACATAACAGCCTCCTACAGTTTACAATCTTCTGCTCATTATTTTATTTCCCCAAGCTACCATTGCAGATATCTTTTGCAACAGCAATAACAAATTTCTCAAGAATGCACCAGCAGGGAAGAAAAACAGGGATAATTTACAAATAACATTACTTAGTCAAATCGTAAGAACTAACTGAAATGACTAAAGAAAACTATATAAAAGCAAAATGTTTTACAGTATTATTAAAGAGCAGTCAAGAAAAATCCAAATGTAGCCAATCTAGTGACAACCTACACTTATTCTGCACAAAGAAATAGTTAACAAATATAAACAAAGAAAAAAAATATAAAAATTGCTTCAAAATAAAAATTGCTAATTTAAATTTGTACTATTAAATCAGAATGAAAAAAGCAAAAATAAAAGGACGAATGAAGGATAAGAATATTCGTGAAGTATTTGAAACATATAGCACTTGCCCAAGCAGAGGATCTATTTTTAAATAACTTATAGTCAAAAGAGATGAAAAAATACAAATAACTGGATATATGCCTACCACTTAAAGAAGGTAAAAACGAAATTATTTCTAGGCCCAGGGTAAAAGAAAGAACTTGAAAATAACATGCTCAATTGGTGCTGCTGTTTTGTTAAGAGCTGTTGAGTTGACTACAACTCATAGTGATTCTATGAACAATGGATTTGTTCTATCTGCCCTATCCTGTACAATCCTCACCATCCCTGATATATTCAAGACCACAGCTACAGACACTGTGTTGATTCAT